GTGGCCTTGCCAATTTGTTGGCCACCGCCCGCCGGACAATAGCTGTTTTTAAAGTTTTCGTCATTAGATTTGAGACTTCACAAAAATCTGATCATTTTCCGAACAATTTCCAAAAGTAGGGAACTTCGTAAATCAAAAATTGAGAACATACATATTATAAAATATTAAGTACACGAATCATATTATTATGAACAATTTCAAGCAGTTAGTTGAGAGCAAGAATTGCCATTTTTCCCACTAATTTTAACCCAATTTTCTATTTATATCATAATTATTTTAAAATTTCTATTTTATTTTAATTAATTATTATTTTATTTATTATTATATTAACGCCACTAGGCCACTATGTTACTTTTCCATTATAATATAATACCATGAATGTTAAAAATATTTGCTTTGAATATTTTGATGGCTCCCGAAAGTCGTTAAATTCCCAATGTAGCCCTCCAAAAATATGAATTGGTGTTACGTGGCTTAAATTATACAGGCGAAGGTTAATAATTTTAAATGGTAGGTAATTGTGATCATACGTGTAAAAATTTAAACGAAATAAACAAATAACAAAATATAAACGAATAAGATAAAAAGTAAAAAACATAATAAGGCAATATACAATTGTATAACGATAACAGTCTTGAAACTCGAGAATTTTTTCACCGGGGGCGAATTGAACTGTTCATGTGATGAGTTTTTGTTAAATTATTTGGCATTTCGTAAGCAACCGGAATCGAAACGGAATATAATAAATTCAAATCTCTAAATGACTCAAACTACTACTCGATATAGGTATAGCCGTATATAGGTAACTATATAGTAACTGCTGCAAGACCGTGTCTCCGTATCAGTGGCGTATATATCAGAGGCCCCCTAGGCTAGAGCCCATAGTGAAATTGCAGGTTCAATTAAAGCATTGCATGTATATCTACACTGTTTACAGTTTTTCACCATGATTAAGTTAGCCGGTTGATTAAAATCGTTTTTGAGGAATCAACAAGGAAATGTTAGATGGTCATGACTTGCTTTGATAACTTATAATTGACTTTGATGTTAAATTTATAGTAAGATAACATTAAAAATTAAAATATATAAATGACACTATCAATATTTTTTAAAAAAGAATCAAAAAATTAATTTTACATAATAATTAAATTGCGTAATTTTTATTTGTACTGTATATGTCATAATTATAACCACCCAGCTCCCTAAAAAATGTATAGTTATGGCTATGTTAGTTGTGCTATTCTTGACTAGTGATAACTGATAAATTGGCCCATAGTGAAAATAATTCGTATATACGCCACTGCTCCGTATAGTGTTATCAACGCAAGGTTTGCGGTTTTCAAGCCTAAGTATATAATAAGGTATAGGTGTTATGTATACACGGATGTATAATATAACATACGTAGCTGCGAGCACACGAGACGGAAGAGAGAGAGAGAACGAGAGACGGCTATATAATATGCAAGTGTCGGAACTGCGATAAAACCGAGAAAAAAAACCCACCCCGTCGAACTAGTCTTTCGGACAAAAGGGTTTTAACCTCCCCTCGACACCGGCATAATATTATATACAATACCTATATATACAAATGGGACAAGAGGGGACTGACGGGTGTCACCGCTGGGGCGTGCGACTACCCGCACGATATAAAAACGTCCGAACTGTACACAATAATAATAATAATATAATAAGATGAGGCGGAGGAATGTATAAATAAGCGACGGGACGCGAAGAAGTTTTTCTCGGCGGACACGTCCGGTGACAACGGTCGGCCGAGTACGAATCGGCGGCCACCGGTCTCGTATGCGTGCGCGTCGTATAATACGATATGCAGGGGCGTGCCCAGGATTTCTTTTTGGGGATGGTTTAGTTTAACCTTAAAGTTTTAAAGTTAAACTTCAATACTTGAACAATATAATTCAAATAAATGTAAGTATATACTGTATTAATAAAAAAAAATTTAATATTTCGTGTTAATTTGTTTAGTCAAAAATAAAATAAAATTAATAAATTAGTTATCTATAAAATAAAGTCCATTCTTCTTGATACTGATGCAAACTTTGATACAACTTCATCTGGATTTACTGGTATGTCGTTGTGAATTGAAAGTAAAGCTAAACCAAGCAGTCGACTAAAATAAGTCAAAAAATAAGCCAGTCAATTTGGGGGTGGTTTGAACCCCCAAAACCATCTCCTCGGCACGCCCCTGACGATATGTAATGATACGCATTATTACTACGCGCCACATAAACTACGATGATGGATGATGGACGGAGCTGCGACGAAAAAAGGCTGCTGCGGCGCCGTCGTCGGACAACAACAAAACGGGCATTATTTCGGATATATTTTTTTTCCCTCTACCCGTTTTGATTGATTGCCCTGGCACGGGGTGCCGGTTGTTCTTCGCTCGTCCCTTCCACCCGCCACGCGACCGAATTCGATATTCCGCGAGCGGTTCACACGACGGTTGACGGGTCGTTAACGTTGAAAAAAAAATGACCTACTACTTATTTTTATACGAGTCGGTTTTTTTGTATTTTCGTCATTGAATTTTCACAGGCGATTCGGTCGGATATAGGTAGGTAAGTAGGAGAAATTGGGTATGATGAGTTTTGTCGAAAAACCTCGACTGACGCCAGTCAGTGGCGCCGAACTAATTTTTTATAGGTGTGGAAATGTACATTAATTTATACCCACCCACCTACCTCTTTGCGGTATGAAACCTAAGCCGTGGGGGCAAAGCCCCCCCCCCCCCCCCAAAAAAAACACTACAAATTTTTTAACTTAGAAAGTATAATTTTCATAAATAAATACCTATATATTATTTACTGCATTTTTGCATTATTTCAGAAGGCTACTCCTTTATAAATGTACACCCAAAAAGTGGGAGCTACCCCCCCCCCCCCCTTTACAGCAATCAATTTTTATTTTATAATCAACATTCAAACATTTTGTATTTGCAATATTGCAAACAAAGATTATATTGGTACAAATAAAAATTAAATATATAATTTAACAAATGTGTTATAATAAAATATAATTAATATATAGGTACATTATAAAATTAAAAAAAAAATAACTGTTAAATAATTGGTTTTTATAATAGATTGTTAAGAACAGTACTATACGTTGTAAGAGTTTTTATTACCTCTTCATTATCAATGTTAATATCTATATTATAGTACTGTACTAGGTTAGGCAAAAAAAAAAAACGTGATATTTTAATATGTTATACAAAATATAATACAAATATCAAGATATTAGGTTGGCTAAGCCACAGAATAAATAGAAAAATATTTATGATATTATTTAAATTAAATATATATGACATTTTCATTGGTTTGTTTATATTAGCATTTTCTAAACACGAATTTACTTTTTCAGTTCCTTAGAAAAAAAAACTATTTTTTCATGCAATTTTTCAATTTTTGATGAAAATAAATTTTTTGGAAACCCTTTTTTCGGAAATTTTGATCCCTAATTATTATATATATTATGTACTAAATAATTATTATTTACTATTAATATATAATTAGATTTTATACAAAATTAAAATATATACATATTTTAAACTTTGTTATTTCTATTTAGTGTTAGTACTTATTATTTTGAAGAATAGGTACTTATTATATTATTTTAAATTTTTAACTGATTACTGAATGGTAATTAGTATAAATTATTATTTATTATTGACTCATTATTATTAATATATAATTAGCTCATACAAAATTGTATGAGCTAATTGTATCATCACAATTTAAAAATGTATTTAACATTTATGATAATAATTGTAAGAAGTATCAGATTGAACAATATTGTTGTAATGTTGTACATAATACAACATAATATTAGGTATCAATTTACTTAGTAAAAAATAAGAAAAAATGTATACAAGACAAATTAAGAAAAATATAGCAGATTCTTTTACAAAAAAATATGTTCAATTTAATTTACAAGTTATTTATCATACGTTGTGTTTCGAAAAAATTGTCTTATATTTTAGACAAAAAAAATTTCACAAAATATTCTAAGATAGTGCCTAATTTAATTTAATATCTGGAATTTCATAATTAAAAATTATCTTATTTATTGTTATCTTTTTTTTACATGGGTTTTAATACCTATTTAATTATACGTAGGTATTAATTAATGTATTCAAAAATTAAACATTTTTGAACACTTATTTTACAAGTACAATAGTACATACTTAAAATTAAAATATTTTATACTATATTATACTATTTACATACTTGTATATGGAAAATTAAACAGTTTATGAAAAACATGTAAGAGTTTATATTATTACAAAAAGTTTCTAAACAAACAAAATATGTATTAATCTAATTATATATAAAATAAAATACATACATGATACATTACATACATTTTTATTTTTAACATGGTTATGTTTTTTAGATGAATACAAAAAAAATGAGCTGACAGAAGTGTTACCTTTTTCTAAGTTTAGTAACTAAATGAGTACGAGTACTTAGTTATACTATATTAGCATAGAACAATATTAGTAGTTAGTAATTATATTAAAACCTAACTATTAACTATTAGTATTTTTCCCGCTTTTAAAAATCGCAGGATAAACTAACTTTTATCATAATAATATCATAATATAACTTTTATCATAATAATATAACTATTATCAATATAAATTATATAATTTAATATGTAATTAATGTGGTAATATTGATTTAGTAAATTGGTATTACTTTTCCAAATTGTGGTCCTTACTATAATTTCTGTGACTCGAGAGTTGAAAAACGGTTAACGCAGGCTTTATTGTAAGGATTTTTTCCAACTGAACAAATAAAATATATATTACAGTAATAAGTAGGGGACTCTACACTAAATACATTATTTAAATTATATAAAAAAATTTTACACGAAAAATTGTCAAACTGATTTTATTATGAATTATTGAGTAAACAATTGGTTATTAAACATAATAATAATAATATTTTTAAACATTTATGGATGAAAATTATTTTTTAAAATTGTCTGTTTTTGGAATGATTTTCCGCTTTATTATTTTCAATATCTTGTAAAACCCTTTTTAGACCTTGAGTTTGAGATGCTTCTGCGAACACTCCTTTGAACCAACTTTGTTCGCGTGCTTTAGGAGTATCTTTCACTCGGCGACATGTTTCATTAGTCCACGATAAAACCGCGTTTCTTGGGTCCCATAAGGATAAAGGTGGCATGTTGAAATTAACAAATAAATATTCATTCTCCGATAATTATTAATAATCGATAATAATTTTGGCAAAGTAATATTTGTTGCATTTCTCAAGTGCACATATTAGCTAAGCCAACTGCACATTTTATATTTCCTAATGCACAATTAGTGTCCTACTGCACCTTACAATAAAGCCTGGGTTAACGAAAAGAAAACAACAAACAGGAATAGAGGAGAAACAAAACACAAGCGACTAGCCTACGATTATGTAGTACCAGTATTAACTATCTATTCTGTGGTAGCACCTATATCGCGGTAACGAGTTGGTAAACTTGTATCGACCGTCGGTCGCGTAAGCTACATCCCCTCCACAGACTGATTGTACGACGGATTTTGACTTTTGAGTGACAAACAAACCGGCGTCGGTCGTCGAGAACGGTGAGCACTGAACGATATACCAGGGAAATCACAGAGACACAAACACCGACGACGGGCAGCGTCAATTTGTCGTGATTGCAACATATTCATTTAGATCTGTTGGTTACAGTATACGAACAGTAAGTTATATTATGTTTTTGTACAGTTTAGTAGAATCCTTGTTTTAAATTTCAATGCATGAATATAAACAATGTTTAACTACGATCAATTTGAAAAAGGTTCAATAATTTCGTAAATGTTGTTGAAATCTATATTTTAAATACTTTTAAAAACTTCTTTCATATTATGGATATTAGATTCTGGGCGGAGCGATGAATTGTATTGATTTTATATTTAAGAGGACGCTACCCATGTATTTGTTGTCTCCGTCTTACACACTCACGACATACCAAATTTCAATTCGCTAGTTTAAATAGTGTGTTGTTAGTTTTAATATTACAGTGAATCGACCTATTATCATACTATTAGGTAAGAATATTATCTGTGCTTAAGCGTTGGCGATTTTTAAATATTTTCATTTTCAAGTAAGATATGTGTAGGTACGTGAAATATCAAAAATTTTAAATGCTCATATCTCGTTTGAAAATTAAAATATCGAATAAAAGCACAGATAATGTTATTATCTAAATATGTTATAATAGGTCAATTCACTTTAGTATCAAAACTAACTGCATACTATTGAAACTAGTGAATGACAATTTGCTATGTCGTGCGTGTATAAGACGGAGACAACAAATTTATGGGTAGCGTCCTCTTAAGTGTGTTTTTTAATTAATATTTTAATTTATGTGTTTGTCATCACTAAAAGATTTTAGGACAGTAAAAATGCTTAGATTTTCTTCAACTGTTTCTCTTCTGATAGGAAAGAAGTCTTGTAAAATATAATTAAAAAAAATATTCAAGTACAGATACAGATATTTATTTTCATAAGTATTTAAAATACGTATCTGAATACTTGAAAAAAAAGTATTTAAGTACAAATACAAATACTTTTTTTTTTAATGTGTTTTAATTTTTACTCTGGCCATTGACTCTTGACATTTTATATAGATGAATCGAATCATTAATAAACTGAATTAATTTTTTATATTAGCATAAACTAGTTTTAAATAATAAGAAATATAATATAATACGATATAATATATTAGCTATCGACCATCGTTATGTTTTATATTATACACATAATTCGAGTAAAGGTATTTCCAATTTTATTAGGAGATCGACGGACTACATACATTCAATTAAATGGATATTTAGTATATAAATAAAAATGTTGTACAATTTCAAATTTGTATTGTTTTATTTAAATTTAACGTCCCTGCAAATAAAGTAACATGAAAAAAGTATTTAAAATAGTATTTGATACATTCAAAAAAGTGTTCAAATACTATGCCCAAGTACTTTTTTTAAATGTATTTAGAATAAGTATTTGAGTACTTAAAAAGTATTTGAATACTTTTACACAAATACTTTTACTCAAGTACTTTACAAGACTGTAGGAAAGTAAATCTAGTTGGTACTTTTGGGGTCAAAGGCAAACATTTCTCTGTATTTTCAAATGCGCCGTGATTTTTCAAAAGAAAAATTAAGGAAAAACGGGAATTTATACCCAAAATATGGTTTTAATAAAATCGATTTTGGTTTTTGGTGCAACTCTTAAACGAATGACCGTAGGTTCTTTTAAACATAAATTTCATATACATTAGTACCTATTACACAGGGTTTTTTTTATGATTTTTTCTGACTGCAAAACCTTATTCTCACTTTTGGACAGTAGTAGGGCATTTGTTTAACTGTGCCGGGTACCTATACTACTATCTGCTGAACTATCTAAATTTTTTACTTTTATAAGAATGCATACCATACTCAGAAACGATACCTATGTAAAAGCATATAAGACCGGACTAACCCATGATATACCAAATAAATCATTTTATATTAATGTACTATTTTTATTGTAAATAGTAATTTTAAAATTTTGTTTGTAAATATAAGTAATGATACTTTCTAAGTAATATTTACTTAGGTAGGTAATATCACTGTTCTATGGTAATATGTATACAATTGTTTATAAAAAATAAGACAATCAATTGACTATGTAACTTCTTTTTAGTAGGTATAATTTTATAATATACAATAATTAATATCATCCTGAAATTCTTTTTTTGCACTGCACAATTACTTTTCTCACTTCACAAAATGTGTCTCACTCCACACTAAAAAAAACCCCTGGCATGTCATTTCCAATACTTAATAAAAAAATCAGTCATACATAATGAATTCTCGATATTAAGCATAATAACAAGCAACTACTACGCCTTTTACTAATTTACACTTGCTCTATCTGAAGTAACTACTCAGCGACACACATAAATAACGAACTCACCATGGTTTATCCAGCGTTTCTCAACCTTTTTTCATTTACGTACCCCTTGACCTCTCACCACTGCTTTACGTACCCCCAAATGTAAATTTATTATATATTCACACACAACACAAATATGATATTATGAAATAAGTTCTATGATGGACAATTTCAAAATATTATTTATTAATTAATTTAATTAGCCATACAATGTACGTATATATATATATATATATATAAAAGTAATATAAACTTTACAATTTAATTTTAATGAGACCCTTGGGCTTGTTTGCTGACACATAATTTTTTGAAATCTGGCTCCTCGGATGATAAGTAAACTCGTAAATCTGTACTCACAGAGAGTCTATTACGATACTTATTTTTAATGTACGTGTATGACGAAAAGGCCCTCTCCACCAATACAGTACTCGTGAACGGCAGCAGAACATTAAATGCTTTGTTTGAAAGCTCAGGATACTCTTCTTTTACGTCAGCCCAAAAAGCGATGAGAGATTTTTTTTCAAATATTACCTCAAGTGAAGAATTCGTCTTCAGTTCAATAAGTTTTTCTTTTTCTCGTACTGATAAAATTGCAGATTCGAAATATTTTTCACTGAAAGGGAATGCTATCCAGTGGTCTCCTTTTTCATATATTCGTATATGAGATAAAAATTTTTAATGGGTTTTTAATAGACAAATAATTGACATTGTATTGAACAACGTTACGTAACCCGATAAGATATCCAGCGTCTAGCTGTGCCACATTATTAAATATTTCACAAATTACAAACCATTTAAAATACACAAATTGTAATTTTTTCCGCCATTACGCTTTTTTTTTCACGTACCCCCTCATACCTTCTTACGTACCCCCAGGGGTACGCGTACCACAGGTTGAGAAACGCTGGTGTAGGGTGTAGCCGTGTAGGACGTTAATGTCATGACAAAATAAACTTATTTTGTCATGTATACACTGTGTTTGGACCGTTAGTGGGGATCGTCGCGGCTGCACGTTATCCTGTTTACGTTGTACACTCGTACTATAGGCCATGATGTTATAAACAAATTTATTGAAAAAGAGAGAAGAATAGAATTTGAATTCAAATAAAAATCAGTCTATAATATATTCATTATTATATTCATTTGTACATTTTCAGTTTTATATTATATTTAATTTTATAGATATTGAATGTATTTTTAAAAATTTAAAAGTATTTAAAATAAATAATTTTAATAATATGTTGATTATTAATAGTAATTGATACGAATTTATTTCCCATAAGGGGGGTTTTCCTAATTGTTTTCCTCACACATTAACGCCTAACGCCGAAAGTCAGGAAACGCCACTGACTATAATACTATAATACTACTAATACTAGTATACTATAATACTATAATACTACTTATACTAGTATTAATAATCAATGATAATATTAATTCAACTTACAGGATATATTAAAATATAATAACAATATAAAATATATCAAGACTGCCAAATCGTTTCCGCTCAGAATTGTTTTCCTTATACAATGATATTATATCATTGAATTCAAGTTTAATACAATCCATTATACATTGATCCACTTGTAACCTAGGTACTGTACAGCACAACGACTCCACTTACCCACTTTTTTTTATATAAACTTAATAAACAACGAGTTACTTTTAGTCAAATCCAAATTAACTACGTTAATTTCTAAATAATTAAATAAATAAATACATAAATATTTTAACTAAATATCTATATTTATATTTTATAATATCCATAATACCTATTACAATTGAGAAATCAATTTATATAGAACTAGCTGATTCCATGCATTTTGTTGCCCGTTAAATGTACCAACTCTTTATGACTCAAACTTTGTTCAATTCGTTATTTAATATTTGGTGTTCAAAACTTATCTTAACTTTTCCGTTGCCCAAAAACTCAAAAACTAATAACCGTCGGCACTTGACATTTTCACCAAATATTTGTATAAGCATTTCTAAATGGTCATATTTTCAAACTATTTTGACGCATTTTGAGCTACCTACTTATTAATTTATTATAGCCATGAACATTTTTTTTAATTTGTTAATCATTTTTCAGTTAGAATTTTATAAAAGTTTTTCATTTCATAACTTACATGAGAAATTGTAATAGTAGATTTCCCAAAAGTTTTGCTACCTTCGTTAAAACCTTATAAGTTTGACGGAAAGTCACACTATTTATAGCCATG